TCTTCCATTCACTAAAAGTTCCTACGTACTGATTCATGTATAACCACAATCAAGCACACCTTACATTTTCCCTGGGAAAAAATGTGAAGCACTATTCCTCACAACTGTGTGTTTACACCTCGTTTCCCAGGTGTTATAACAGTGACTTGTATCTTGATCCTCACACCGGTGATTTCCATTTGATTCCCATGTTTTCTCTTCAGATTCAGATGTGATTCTATGTTTTTATGACAGGAATGAGCCCCTTTGTGTTGCTGTTATTTTGAACTTGATTAGAGCTTCTCTCCTGGAGTATTCCTGACAAGTTTCAGATGTATATCTAGTATATTGGATGTGTGGTGACATGCTTTCTGTGCTGTTTAATGTTCACTTGCGATATTACAAGTTTCTGTTGTGTCACTCCTGTAGTTCTTGCTCTCTCAGAATGGATTTACTGCTTCAGTGTGATTTAAACACTGGAAAATATGCAACCTTCCCCTTAACGGACCTACCTTTTAAAATAAATTTACATTCCCTGCAGCACACATTTGTACTGCTAAGTATTGTTTACAGTGTGGTTGCCATGGTAAACAACTGCTTACTGTACGAAATGGAAACACTGAGCCTGACAGATCGTTTTTGTCTTTTTATCCTTTGAAGTATTTGTTCTCTGGGAGTTGACAGGTGTGTCCAGAGTTGACACCTACCTTGGGAAGTGAATCATCAGCCCCGACCAAACTGAAATGAACTGAAAGATTGTCGTTTTTCTTTTAAAAAGACAGAATCTTGACCTTCTCACTAGCTTAGGCTTGATCACGGGTCAGCTAAATATGTTGTTTTAACTTCATTAAAAAAAATGAAGCTAAATGCTGGGAGGATGGTCTATTTAGCACCTGTGAGGGGCAGCGGCAAAATAGGTTTAGAGTAAATACAGCAAAGGAATTTAAAAACCCTGTGCTGTTAAATTATTACATACTGACTGTAAATAACACTTTAATGTTTTTTGTGCTGCCCTAAAAAATCTAAATGGAAAATGTATTTTATTTTGTTGTGTGTGTACATATATATATATGTATATATACTTGGGTCAGCTGACATCAGTGATTGAGGTACTATATACATAAAGCATAAACGCTCCAACTGGCTTTTAGTAGTGATTAGGTTTAATAAAAGGTTCCAAGATGTTCTTTTTAATGAATTGTATGAATGTAGTGAAGTAGTATCAACTTTAAATAGAAATACTCACAAACCATAGAACCCTCCACTTTTACGCTTGTGTGGAGGAACACAAATGTCCCTTTTTTTTGCTAGTTGGTGGTGACTGTTCCCACATCATGATTCACTCATTTACAACGGCTGTAAATGAGTGACTATCTAAAAGAAAGAAGGTTTTTTTTTTAAAACGTTATATAAATAAAGCAGTGTGGAAGTTATAAGTCTATCCGCTGAGCAACATCTAAATGAAACAGATGATGATGAATGGTCAGAAAGTGCGCTTTCATACACTGACGGCGTTTCCTGTCGTGGATGGCGACCACTTTCTGGTCTAGACGATGTTTGAATCATTCTGTGTGATTCATTAACAAACCGTGTCCTGTAGACATCAGCAAAATTTCCTGCTAAAGTGGGACTGTTTAAATTGCATGCCCTTACAGCAACATCCAGGCTTTTCTTTGTCATTTTTTTTGTTCTGTTTTTTTTTTAAAACATAACATTATTTTACTGTGGAAGTACTTGGGGATTTTTGGGAGATTCTTCAGACCGGACAGGTTTGGACGGATTTCTCCTCGGAAGATTGTCCTGCTTAATCATTGGACCAATCGGATTCCTTGCCAGCGCCCAAAGGTGCCGGAAGCCGCACTCCAGAGTTCTTTGGGGCAAAGAACACACCTCCTGCAACAGTCAGCCACCGACAGTGCTGCTACAAAAGTGGGTGGCGGAAGGCAAACCTGTCTTTTCAACCCTGAGCCTACTTTTACTTTGACTCGCGGATGTCCGACACTGGCGGTGGATCTTGGACGACGGACACCGGAGAGAGAGAGAGCTCTACTAGTTGCAGTTTCCCACAGAGCAACAGGTAGATGTGATGATACACCTACAGGGCAGTGCCATGTGCAGGGAAGAGGAATGAAGGCCCAGTTAAGTTGTCTCATACACTACAGGAGACTCTTTCTTCTCGACTTTTCTGTTTCCTTTTTCAAGGACCACGAAAATCCTATTTTGGAAATGCCAAACTGGGTGTTTTTGGAGTTCATTTGAGATGGAGTAATCCTACCTCTTAGATCGGCGTGGCACTTGCGCTCGTTGTTTTCAGACATCCACCTTTTTAATTTTTATTTTATTTCCTCCCAATCTTTAAAACATCTCCAGCAACATTTTTCATCTTCCACACGGGAGTGGGGAACAGCATGGTGCGGACCTTGAAGCGCGGACCGTGCGGAACGTGTTACTAGACCACGGGTTCAGGAAGGAAGGCAAGATGTTGGCATAGCTGTTGAGTTGAAAACCCTGCTATGCCGACAAATTGCCATCTTTCTCTCCCCTATGCTGCCAAACAAACAGTGAATTTGTTGTTGTTGTTGTTTTTAGATTTATTTATTTATTTTTTAGCTATACCTGCGCTCAAAACCCTCCAGGAATATATATGCATATTTTTTAAATGTCGCTTTCATTTTTGTTTTGAACATGTGCGAACTCTTTCTATGCTGATATAATGTGATGTATGCTGTTAAATGTGGGCTAACTGTGTATAATCTACCTGTTACTGGGGCAACCTACAGGTTCACACAGCACAGGCACTGATTATGTATACATCATTTACAGTAAGCAGACAAAACAAAATGCATGGTTTACTCTCTCTCTCTCTCTCTCACCCTGTGTGTGTGTGTGTGTGTGTGTGTGTCATAAAATTCATTACATATAATTTCACAAAAGTGTTTTTTCTTTCTGATGATTGCAAAGAAACTTTTTGGTGCAACGTTCTAATTTTTTGTCAGTGTAACATTAATCTCTTTATGACACATTCTGTTAAATATTGTTACAATTTTTTTAAAAGTTTTTACTCATATCCTTCCATCATCCTTTTTTCTCTCTCATGACCCAACTGCTTTTGTCATAATAGCGCATTTTATTCCCCCTCTGATGATTCAATAATCATCGATTATTAAATTAAAGCTTTACCTCATCCTTACAGGCAAAAATGTAACAAAGCAAGCAAAACAAGCAGCTATGTTATTTGAGTGTTTCCGTTCTATGCTTAACCTACTTCTAGCTGACAGCTGTTTTTCCTTGTTATTTTGGTAGATGAAAAGCATGGTGTATTTGCAAGGTAAGATAGCCTGTTAGATATTTAAGTGCTCAGGATTAGAGAAATAATGAAAATGTGTTGCATCTTAACTGACTTCAACCGTGAAGCGATTATCGTGGTAAGAAGAATTCGCAACATTCATATCACAACACTGAGAGAAAAAATCTGGGAAAAAAGGAGTTAGCTACTATGATATATGACAAATTCACCTGTAACTTTGCTTATTCAAAGTTTTCTTTTGGCAAATGAATCAAACTCAAAATAAAAGTGCATGGACAAGACGACAGAGTCTGTAAGCACCTGTATAATAGTATATAAGAAGAATGATTAGACAATAATATGTGATATTATCATAAGTCCATTACTGACCTGATTTTTTGATCTTGATATTTAATTTTTAAATATTCATTATTGTGTCAGCAAAACTTTAGTGAGTTGGTAAACCTATTTTAATCACATGTTATACTGAGTGTGTCAACATTAAATAGAAATAGATGTTCTTTCTTAACAGTTAAGTTACTGCCTCTCAGATCATGTTTGCTTTCCTGCACTGAAAAAAGACTTCACATTCTGGAAGTGGCGGTGAATTTGCTTTGATGTTACTTATAATAGCACAGTAAGAAACATAAGGAAGTATGAGTGTATACATCATAGATTTTAACTTCAGTGCTCCCTACAGCTTTGTTTGGATTGAAACCTACACAAGTGTGATGTGTGTGTGTGTGATGTGTGTGTGTGTTTTAGTGTGTGCATAAAAAGGTAACGCTCCATATTGTTACCTTTTCTTTACAATATCTGCTTATTTGATTTTTAATGAAATTTTTACAGATGACAATTTTACCTTTATTTGTTTGTTTTCTTGGAGGCATACTTTTTTCATTAGTATATTGGCCTATATTTCCACTACAGGACATCTTTGCTCCTGCCACACTTTGAAAGTGCCTCATTATTGGTCCTGATCTTATAATTATTTGTGGCAGCTTATTTTGATGCAACGCTGTCACAGTTTACTCATTCAGCTAATATTAGGAATAATTCTAATATCTCGACATTGTTTGAGAGCTGAAATTAAAGGACCGGCATATGATATTATTTCAAAATGCATCAGTAGTGTGAAGGAATGCAAAGGTTAAATGTAACATAACACAGGTCCTAACAGCAATCAGACTGTCAGACAGTAAAAGTTCCCACTGCCCTTTATGTGCATAAAAAATACATAAGAAATATATGTGATAGAGTGTATTTTAATGAATATGTATACAGTAACATTTGCATGTAGAACAAATTTATTGTATTTTGTTGACATTCTACATTTTTAGCAGTCAGGCTTTTTAAAAAAAAATTTTTATTGTTTATTTTTCTGATATGTCTGTTATTCTGTGTCTGTTGTTATATGTCTGTTTAAAAACCACAGTTATATTTTAAAGAATGACGGTGTGTAACTGTGACTTTATTTAAGCTACTGGTTTCTGCTAAAAGTTTACTTTGACCAAAATCTTAACTTTCAAATAAAGTTAAGTGTTTTTATTTATTTACTGTAGCAATAGATAATAAATAAAAATAAATTAAAAAAAATTATATATATATATATATATATATATATATATATATATATATATATATATATATATATATATATATATATATATATCTCAAAAACAGCATTTGCCATAAAAGTTAAAGCTGACCGGCTTGCACATTCTATTTCTGCAGGCGGGCCACCGACCGGCTTCTCTTCTCTCTTCACGCTGGAGCATGACTTTGCACGGCGTTGACCACGTGAGCAACGCTTGGTGGTCACGTGAAGGCGTCCTTCAGTCTGTCTGTATGCTACTTTCTCATTCAGATGTGTGCGTACATGTCTGCGGTTTGTTTGGCGTCCACGTGAAGACATTTTTTGGAAAACCGCGAGGTAAGAGCACGCACCGTGAGTTACCAGAGCGGCTCTGACGAAGATGCGCGGTGTTTTATTTTCCGGCCCGGAACACATTAGCTTAGCCTAACTTAGCTTGGCGGAGCTAGCCTGTACTCTGTTCCTAAGCAAACTCTGGATTGAAACCAGACTTCTAGCACTGAGTAAGTTAGCACTCGTATAACACAGGGACAGTTTTAGGCTCAAACGTTTAGGTAGGGCTCAGCTTCTAATGGGGAAAACATTCATTTAGTGTTACATATTGCAATTTTTACATGAATCAAATAAGAATAGTTAATGCATATATGATATATATAGTTAATACAGCGCTGTAACTATCACGAGTCGTATACCACGAGATATTTTATAAAGAAAATAAACAATGACATAAACTGCAATCGTCAATTCGTTAGAAGGATGACGATTGCAGGTGATTTAAACAGGTCATTTCACTTGCACCTGCTTTAGGGTGGATCCGTAAACCTGAGGGAAAGGCTCAGTCATGGTGACCAGAGTTTTCCTGAGTAAGGCGGAAACCGATTTGCTGCAAAGCACATGTGACGATAAACATGCACAACATTGTTTCAGCCTCTTAACAGAAAGGCTGCCACTCCATGTACCTGTACAAGAAGCAATCTGATAATAAAGTTGCTTTTACATACAGGTTTTTGAATACAAAGCCTCATTTTGCTGTAAGGACTCAACAGAGGGCATTAGGCATCCCATTTCAAGTGTGCTACTGAAAAGCACACTTTTTTTTGGCTTATTTCTTTTTGGAAATACAGTTAAGTTTTCCTTTTAATTTCACTACCTGTAAATAAGGTAAATGAACATAGTAATTGTGACATAAGTTACTGAAAGGTTTGGAAGAATCCACATTTAGCACACTGCTTAGTTATGTGAAACATTAATCAGTGAATGCAGGCAAAACAGAAGGCACCTTGGCTTGATAACAGCGTTGTAGACTTTGGTCACTCATCCGCTCTTACTGGTTTCTCTTCACTGACATCATCCTGCTTTTGCCCTCACTCCCCGTCTCTATTTTCCTCTTAGTCTTTATGCTGTCATTAAAAAGTACATGTAACACTAAAACAGTATTTAAAACCCAGTGAAAGGCATAAACTGATCCATATTAATTATCCATCTATGTCAATTGCAATGTTCAGATTCAGTATTGCACTGATACTGATATATGAGGTAAAGCAGCGGCCCCCAACCTTTCTTGTGCCACGAACCGGTTTAATGTCAGACAGTATTTTCACGGACCTTTTTTAATGTGTCACAGATAAATACAACAAAATAAAATGATACGACCAAGACAGCAACTGTGGTATTTTGTAAATATAATAATAAACGCAAATTCACTGTGTAATTGTGTAACTTTATTAGCAGCATCCTCCTGAAATGCACCAACAACATTGAGAGTAACATCCCCCTCTCTGCCCCTTAATGCTCTCTGGTCACTGTGGTAATGCGTAAATATTTATTTCAAAATAAGACACACAATTACAACACGGGAAAAGACCCAGAAAACGATAAAGTTCACACCCGAGCCTCAACTCTCACGGCCCGGTAACACACGACTCCGGTCCGTGGCCCGGGGGTTTGGGGACCGCTGAGGTAAAGCCCTCTTGACTTTCTCTCATTAGAATCCAGTTATATGTTAGTTTGTTTTAATCATTTATTTTAGAAAACACATTTATCAATTCATGAAAAAATTACATTTATAATAAACTGTAGTTTCTTTAAATTAGTTCTTTAAACAAACAAGCTTAGCTCCACCAGAATAGAAAACTTTGACAAAGTGAAAAAAACTGGCTCATCATCTCTATTCTAGACTATATTAGCTAACATTTGTGACACTATTTTTGAGAATAAATATACTTAATGGTAATGACCCTGCAGCATCGGAAAAATTTGCACTTTTGCTTGCTAACGTTTCAGTTGGTGTTTTAAATCCGTGCCGGCTTGTGTCATGAAATTACTTCTTCATCTCCTTTCTGTCACGAATTTCATCATAATATTGGGAATGCTGGACTTTTAAACCTAGGGCTGCTCAATTAATCGAATTTTAATCACGATTACGATCTGGGCTTTCAACGATCATTAAAAATGACTGAGCCGATTATTAGCCCCTCCCTCATTTATCCGCGACGCCTTAAAGGCCGGTCCGTGAAAATATTGTCGGGCATAAACCGGTCCGTGGCGCAAAAAGGTTGGAGTATTTAGTATTTATTTATTTATTGTCATTGTCAAGAACAATGAAATTGCGTTTGGGGCTTCCATACAACCCAAAAAAGAAGAAAATAATAAATACCCCTTAAAACCCAAGTGTACATATTTAACCCAGTGTGACTCCAATGCAATAAGACAATCCTTAGCAATAATGTTCGTAGAAATTCAGACAAAGACCTGAGAAACATGACAAAATACAACAATGCAACCCATTCAATATTATTGTACTGTGAGATATGATATCAGATATGATAGACCGCTGATTAAGAGGACCCGAGGGAAGCTCGGAAAGCTAAGCAGAAGTTATTTGGAGAGGAGAGTGTCTGCTGTTGGTTGAAAGGAGAGGTAAAAAAAAAAAAAACTTCAGTGGTGTTGCACACTATTTTATATTATTTTTTAAAGTCATTGTTAACCCTTTAAATCCGGTCAGAGCAGCATGCTCCGTTTTGTGTAACTATTTTTAAATCCCTGTAGAACCGGAACCGCCTAAGCTAGTGCAATAATTTGTTTTGCATATGAAACCGGAGGAGTTGTACTTACATCTTATGCCATCAGCTTGTCCTCGGTCACGGTTTCCTTCCACATATAGCTTTGCAAAAATTGCATAAAAAGCGCTTGCAGGAACGAAAACATAATATTCCAGAAACAGGCTTTGCCGATCCGATCAGCTGTTCGTAACACTTCCCACAGTGAAACAGACGTCAGCGCGAACTGTCGCATGTCCGCCATTTCCTGGCCGAAACCGGAAGTGACGTCATTTTCGCGGAAATGTAGTTTTTTACTTGTAGGCCTTAAAAACCTATACTGGTCATGTTTGACTTTTCTGAATAGTTTCTGGGATGCTTAGAACTCAAATTGCACTGCTGGAAATATTTTATTTTGATGCACGTGCTGTTTTCTTTGCAAATTTGCATCATAGGATTGTTTTTTTTGTTTTTCCTGCAGTATATAAAAATTGGTGTATCTCCAAAATAAAACTATGAAGACACTCAAAATAAATTTCCTGTGGTGGGAAACTATTTTTTGCAACTTTTTTGTATTTAAAGTTTTGAGGAATAAACCTCTTAAATTTCTCCAAGTAGAAATATATGTAAACAAAACAAAACAAAAACAATATAAATTTTTTGTAGTTTATTGCACTTTTTTGCAATTAATGTAGTTACTATGGACTTAATGCATACATATTATTAAAATATGGGCTATAACAGTTATTTAGCAACTTGAAATGCTCCACAAATGGCACTACAACATGTAAAAAATAATATAAGCTCTGGCGGACTTGGTTCTATAGTAGGTCTTAAAGGGTTAAATAAATATCGTCAAATAATCGCGATCTCAATTTCAGTGAAAATAATCGGGATTATCATTTTTGCCATAATCGAGCAGCCCTATTTAAACCTGTTCTCCTTCTAATCTGATGTCTCTGATAGACGTTTTTCGGAATATAACCTTAGAAAAAGATGTCTAATAATATTAAAATATGTTATTAATACGGTTATTTTTAGGGGCGCTAAGATAAAATTTAGGGATGCGTTGGTAAAAAGGTCTGGTGTAACTTTGGCATTTTTAACAAACCTGTCCCTTTATAAAACATTGAATGAGCAGTTCGTCATGAGCTTCGTGCGATAATAATTAGTAAACTTACCTAATGATCGCGAAAGTTAAGAGTTACAGTAAAAACACATCCTTGGTGCCAGTGTGAAGGAACGGAAACTGAGGAGTGCTTTGCTCCTACAACAGGAAGAAGCCACATTACCGCAGTTTGGCCTTTATGAACATAAACAGACGATTTTGTCAAAGCTTGAAGCAAAAGTGAAAGATTTCAAACCTTTTCACTTTTCATAAATGTTATTATTTTCCCCTATTGGTTAATTTTGTGAAATAAGCATTTGTAGAACGGTTTGGACACCCACTGCACTGACTTACCACAAAGTTGTGTGTTTAACACAGATGAACAGCGACAACTTTAACCTGAGCGAGAAGATTGTGTCACCTTCCTACATCCGTCAGGGATCGCAGGCTCGCCGTGGCCATGAGCAACTCATCAGACAGTTACTGGAACAAGTACGCTCAAAGCTTTATTTTGTTTCCTCATACCACTGCAGTGAAGACACTTCCTCTTTCATGTTGTGTGTGTTGCAGGGAAAGTGTCCCGAGGAGGGATGGAGCGAGAGCACTGTTGAGCTCTTCCTCAGCGAGCTAGCTGTGATGGACAGCAACAACTTCTTGGGTAACTGTGGAGTAGGAGAGAGAGAAGGCCGGGTGGCATCCAGCCTTGTGGCAAGACGACATTACAGGTTCAAGTTTGCCCGCCAGGCCTTATGCGTTATTAGCGATTCACTTTTAAACCCAGAGTGATGGATTGTGAGGCAGATAAAAAGCAAGCGGATCTTTTGTTGTTGTTGTTTTTTCTCTACGACAAATATTTCGTAGTGCAGGATTGTGCTTAAAGCGATTCTGATTTAGAATAGTTGGAAGAAAAACACACTCTGCGCCCATCTCTGTCACACTTGGAGACACACTTTTTTATGTTGCCTACGTACATCACCACAGTGGATTTTAAATAAGACAATCAAGATGTGATTGAAGTTAAAACTTTCATTTTTAATTTAAAAAAAGTATTTTAAATACTTTGCTTTAACTGTTTAGGAAATAGTTGGATTAAAATCTTTTGCCGTCAGTGACTGGATGAAGTGTAAAAGCCATGGACATGGTCTTCTCTTCTCGGTCAGGCCTTTACCTCAGCCACCTTCAGTTTGTGCTTAAGTAACTGAAAAGCTGCTCTGTTGGGCTACGATCAGATGACCACCTTGGCGATTTAGGAATATCCAGTTTCTTTGCCATGAAAAACTCTTGGTTGCTTTTGCAGTGTGCATTGATTCAACATCTATTTGCAATGTTACGTACTCGATTCCTTTGGCAGCTATGCAGTACAGTACTGCTACTCTGCCGTACATGCTGGTTTCATCTGTCCCAGGATTTTCTCCATGTCCGTGCAGGCTCTGTTAGATGCTTTCTTGTAAAGTCTGTTCTTCCCGTTCTTGAGTGTAACCAGCAGCACATCACTGTAAACCCTCCATATTTCTGTTCATAAATGCATCTCTTGATTTTGGACTTTGTCAACGATATGCCTACCTCCTTGAGTGTTTTTCATTTGACTTGAAGTTGTGAAGTTTTTTTCTTAGCTATGAAAAGAATTTGAAATATTTCCTAATTAAAGTCTGTGCTCTTTAAGGCCTTTTGGTGTTGCTGGGGTGATCAGTGCATGGCTTCTTTCTAAGAGTGTGACAGATTGTTGAATGACAGCTAAAAATAAAGAAAAAGATTTTCCACATCTTTGACATTAAGAGTTCCAGTGAACAGATACCACATTTTTTGTTAAACCCCTTGAATTAAAGTTAAACGTCTAAAGTTAACTGACACTCTGATTGTCACTGTGGTGGTATATAGAGTCAAAACTGCAAAATCTGTGTCATCATCCACATGATTATGGGTCTGACCGTCAGCCATAAATTGGTTTGAGGTCAGGATGCTGACTCGGCCGTTCCAAAACCATGATTTTCTTTGTTTCAGCCTCTGTGTGTTTTGTTTAATTGTTTTATTGCGTGCACCAAGCTTTTCTTGTTCTAAAGTTATCTTTTAAAATTTATTTTATGAGGCTTACACGTTGCTCTGCAGTTTTGTTGTGATTCTTTGTCACCTCCAAACTTGGTGTGATCCTAGGGAGAATTGGGGGAGCTGTGCTATACACACTTCAGACCTCATTTCCTTAACAGGAACACTTGATTCCAGGTTGCTTTTGGGGAATGGCTAACTGAAATTTACTGTGTTTGATAAAGACATGAAAACTTTTTGTGTGTTATTAGTTTAAAAAGACTTATGTTTGCTTTTTGAACACATTTCATGAATAATAAGTGCAAAACCTTTTGTAATTCTAATAGATTTTGTTGCAGTTTGTCTGTAACGAGGTAAAAGCACCTATACTGATATACAGATAAGGACAAAATTATTAGCCCCCTTATGAAATGTAATTGGCCTTTTTAACAGAACAAGTGATTTTCAATGTAGCATTTATAAACATACCAGTTTTCTTCAGTAAACAAACTTTACCGGGGTGAATATTATTAGCCCCCTGAAAATCAAGGATGTGCTTTAACTTTGTAACGCTCACTGCTTGTAAAATCAAGGTAAAACTGAAAGTTTTCTTCCAATTTACATACAGTATAAAAACGTCAGAGTTTGAGCTGTCACTTGAAAAAGCATCATTCCAAAAACAATAAGTTTAGAGAAAAGGATTTGTTGCAGGAGATGGATAATGATTTTATTTATTTGTGCAAAGTAACATGAGCGTCCAAAGTAAAACAGGATGTTTGAAAATGCTGCGTTTAACAAAAGAAGGAAAAAAATAAATTGCTTGCTCTGTTTACCTGGGCTTTCAAAATACTTAATAAAACAAGGATGTTTCATAGGGGAGCTAATAATTCTGTCCTCACCTGTATCTGTGGGTTTTTTTTAAATTGGCCTTGCACGCAGATTTATTACACTGGGCTGTGAAATGTCAGCTTTGCGCTCATCACGGAGTTTAGGAGGTCGTTTAACTGCTCGTGTTGTGACATCCAGCTGTTTTGTCTAGGCTGATCCACGGCATCGGCCGGTCAGGTGACATCGCTGCTATTCAGCCTAAAGCTGCAGGATCCAGTCTGCTTAACAAACTGACCAACTCAGTTGTCCTGGATGTTTTAAAGCTTGCAGGTGTGTAGCTCTTATCAGTTACACTAGTATTTGTGATAAGCTAGATGTTAAATTTTGCCTTTTCCTCCCAAATGTCCACTTGGTAAAGTGTATGGAAATCTTTATGTAGAATTAACAAAAGGTTTCGAAGTCTTATTTTCAGTTGTCTGCTGCTTGTGCGTTACAGGCGTCCGGAGTGTGGCCAGCTGCTTCGTGGTACCCATGGCTACAGGGATGAGTTTGACTCTCTGCTTTCTGACCCTTCGTCACAGGAGACCCAAAGCTCGCTACATCATTTGGCCTCGCATCGACCAGAAGTCCTGTTTCAAGTCTATGATCACAGCAGGTGACCATATGACTCGTATCCAGTGTCCTGTCAACCTTACATCCTGATCAGCGAGCACGTCTGTGTTTGAAATGTCATGGATCTTGAAGGGTTCAGATTAATTGTGAAAGTGTTTCACTTTATTGCCATCTTTAAATCGTTTGCTTACATTAAGACTTACTGTTTTCTCAGGCTTTGAACCTGTGGTCGTGGAGAATGTGCTCGAGGGTGATGAGCTGCGGACAGATTTGGAAGCAGTTGAACGCAAGATTGAAGAGCTCGGAGCTGAAAATATCCTGTGTGTTCATTCAACGACTTCTTGCTTCGCCCCACGGGTCCCTGACAGGTCTTGTAAGCTTTCATTCATGCCCTCAGGTTTTATTATGTCATGTTATGTATGTGTTGATGTAGGCTGCCTGCAGGATTTCTTACTTTCAAAGGAAAATGTATGTTGCTTGTTTTGGCTCATGGCGTGGGAATAAGGTATGCACCATTTCTAATACTGTTTGTTTTGGGGTCTTGCAGGCTTGAGGAGCTGTCATCTCTCTGCAGCAAGCATGACATCCCCCACATAGTTAACAATGCATATGGCGTACAGTCGTCCAAATGCATGCACCTCATTCAGCAGGTATCAACACTCTTCACTGCACAGTGCATGTAGCAAGTTGATCTGGAGCTCACCTTTGAATGCTACGATGTGATTTTCTCGGATTGTCTGTCATCAGGGCGCTCGTGTGGGAAGAATCGATGCCTTTGTACAGAGCCTGGACAAGAACTTTATGGTTCCAGTAGGTGGTGCTATAATTGCAGGCTTTGATGAGTCGTTCATACAGGAGATAAGCAAGATGTACCCAGGTGAGTGTTAACGCTCACTGGTATGAAACAATAACCAGGTGGGCATGTGTACCCATGCAGATTTGTGTATTTACATAAAAGCAAATGTTTTGAAAGTTTCAAAGTGTAGAGCACAGTTTTTAGTTTTTATGCACTGCCATATTTTAGTAAATTGGTAATAAAGCATGAAAATGTTTGAATGATTCGTTTTCATGCTTAAACATAAGATGACTGTTCACAAACATAAAAATCCTGCAGCCCACTTTGTGTTTATTGTGCCCTACTCTGATTAACACGCAGGGCTGCAATCAAGCATTTTATTCTTGATCTTTTGTTGATTTCCTTGTTCAGGGTGCTACAATCATAAAGCAGTAAAGTCCCCGTCGTTTCTCTATTAGCTTTGAGGACTTGTTAACATGTAAATGTTTAATAATAAATATATTACAGGAATTGGAAATGAAAAGAAAAAAGTCCACAGTCCATCGAGAGGCACTGGGCTATAAAATGGGATAACTGATGTAGTATGAAGAAACAGGGTCTTGTTGTTGTTTTTGTTCTTTTTTGTTGTTGTTTGTTTAACTTCAAACCTTTTCAGCACAAATTTCCCTCTTTCCTACTTTTTCTTCTTGACCCGAGACTGCAAAGGCAACCGCATTGTTCCCGTTCTAAATGTTAGATCCATGATTTCTAACAAAATCTCACCACTAGTGCATTTTAACCATCATCGCTGAAACTGGGGTGCATTTCATTGGGACTGTTGATGTCCCCATGGTAACTGAATTCGCTACAATCCTACCTGCACTGTTCTCACACTGTCACAAATCCATCCAATCAGAGATGGTATGAACTTTGCACGAGGGAACTGGGAGGTTAAAGGCCAATGTTTAAACCAGCTGCACTGGACAACTGTGTTGTCACTGCCATCAGATAATATCTAGAGAAGTTCATTGACGTGCTTTTTAAACATTTTGGGTAACTCTCAGAAAGCAGCAGTAAGACTGTGCACTGCTCTGTGCGACTAATCGGAATCTGCCTAAGCCAGCTTTTCACTTTGGTTTATTTGTTTAATTTTCTCATGCTGCAGTTGAGCTTCTGTCAGTGCTTGGAAAGTGTCCAGCTCTGATACCTTCCACTAACTAACTGTCATCTGTGGGTATACTGTTACACATTTTCTTTTCTGTCAGGCCAAATCTGAACTGAAGTTATACCAGCTCATAGAAAAATGACACCAGGCCCGCTGTAGAAATGCACAGGACTTTGCATTCAAAACACTTTAGGTTCATCCCGCCAGCAATCAGACCGATGAACCCTCAGTAACCCCGGCAAGCGTCTTATTTTATTTTCGGTTTTTAGTTTCTTTACTTGTCAAAAAGACACTAAATAATTTCACCAAAACCTCAAACTATCAGGGTCAAACTTATTACCCGATACTCCAGTGGGATTCAACTCAGGGCTTTATGCAGGCCAGTCAGGAGTGACGTATGTTTTGATTTGTTGTTGTGCTGGAAGTCAAAGCGATGCTGACTGCTTGAGGTTTTTTTCCTGCCACCCTGATGAGATCACAGTTCCAGACACATTGCAGCGTCCCCACAGCAAAATACTCCCACCACCGTGTTTCACTTTGGGGACTGTTCTTTGGGTCGTATGCCTCTCCCTCCAAACACGAGCAGCGTCTCTGCAGCCAAACAGCCGTAGTTTAATCTCATCTAACCAAAGCCGTGCTTCCAGTATGCATAGAGTCCTCCTCCAGGCTATTGTTGGGATAGTCCAGTCTGGCTTGAATGTGACTCTTCTGACAACGTGGAGATTTTCTCTGTCTGAAATCTCGAGGTCAACAAAGACTCTGCGTTTAGTTGTCGTGCAGCTTCCCTGCCTGGACGTCTGTGTCCTGAGCTCCATCGCCCTTCTACAGTCCTCGACACACTGCTCTGAGGCTCTTGATGCTTAACAGCGTATTTGAAGCATATGAATGTCAAAAACTGTTTAAAAGCCTGCACTCATCTTCTTTTACTCTCCTGCCCTTTCTAATTGATCCCAGAGGTGGATGCGTGAAGCACAAGCCGGCTAACTCATTCACCAATGTGTCAGCAGCTGTTCTGGGGCATTTTAGACACATCTCTCTAATTTTCTTTCAAGAGTCTTTGAAATGTTTTCCTTCCTACCTCTGCCGGGCTTCTTGTGTACTGTGTGAAGAAACTCTGTTGTTGTGTGAAAACAGAAATCTAGTGTGTTTAGAAATGTTATGTTATGTTTAAATCCTGTCAGGGGGCTAATAATTTTATCCTCATCTGTGTAAGTCAAATTGGATTGTTGTTAAACATTAATAACAAGCTTCTAGTTCAGTTTGATAGCAGCTTCTGGCTTCTCTTCCAGGGAGAGCATCAGCCTCACCTTCCCTCGACGTCCTCATTACCCTTCTCACGCTGGGAGTCTGTGGCTATAAGAAATACTTGTCAGAAAGAAAGGTGAGAGTGGTGCACACATCACCTTTTTATACTGCTAAAAATAGTTCCTCACTTAGTTAAACGTGGCTGTTATGTCTGCTGGATGTTTCCAACATGTATGATGAGAACATTATGGGACTGCAGGAGTATCAGGTGTATATTGTAGTCTGTCTGAATATGTCTCTGTGCCGTGTCAGCGTCTTTCCTACTAAAAATGGCAATAACTTATATAAGTTGTATTGAGTTGCAGTTGGCTATATGTTACAGTTTTCTGTGTGTGTGTCCTTTTTTGCTTCACCTGCGTTCTCACTGATGATAGAGACTGTGGACTTGTGTGTAGTGAGCTCTGTGAAGGAAGGAGTCCACTATAGAAAGATAAAATTGATTCTTTGAGAGTTTGAGAAAACCTCCCCTGGTGGCTTCCTGCTTTAAAGCAGAGTTGCTCACAATGCAGCATCCTCCTCTTTAGATGATCGGCACTGCAGCATTCTCTCTCCTCTAAACTGCTGCTGCGCCGTAAATGTGCTGCAACTGAGAGAATCTGTTTGTCCTCACACTCAGAGCACAGAAACTCGAAAAGGAATAACACTTTAAAGTAGAGGTTTTTTTAGAAATTACCCCGGATTCATATACAGAAATTACACGTATTTAAAAATGATGCCATACAATACTCAAAGTGGGATATCGGTGTACAACCTAATCCGTAGCTGAAATGTATACCTAGGAGATTCCTGTGGCCTCTTGCCTGACCCGACACACCATCAGAGCTTATTGATTCCTCTCGGTCCACTTTATGCATAATTAATGTACAGAACCATTCTTTCCCCATAGAGTCTGCAGAACGTCTCTCCCAGAATCACGAGCTTTTAATAATTCAAGCGTTTCATCTGTTTAGGTTCATTTACTGCCTCGTGTGTACCACCGGTTTAGATAATGTCTGCATAATGAAAAGAAGAAACGGGTGATGCGCGTGCTTTTGTTTTAGTCGGGGCGGCCTTTGACTCGTCACAAACACAAACTTATTGTCCTGCACTCTCACCACCACTTACGCTGTTCTCCTCCTGCAGCATAATAAAGTCATCCTTTGTTATTAGAGGACAATGGACACTTAGAGACACTTGACATCATTGAAATGCTGTTTGTGTTTGACTCTTGACAGGGAAAATATTTTCCCTCTTGATGCTTTCAAACAAGGACAGTATGAGTCAGCAGAGTGTGCCCTCGCTCACACACACAGACGCAGTGAAAAGAGCTTCTTTGGGGAATCTGGAGCTGGTAGCTAGCAACAAACGCACTGTGTTTAGTTGTCGTGTAGCTTCCCTGTTTGAACGTTTGTGTCCTGAACATCATCGTTCTATTTCAGTCTTCCACACGCTGCTCTGAGACTCTCGGTGCTTAATCAGCGTATTTGAAGCATGTGAATATCAAAAACTGTGTTTAAGAGCCTGCAGTCCTCTTCTTTTACTCTCCTGGCCTCTCTAATTGATCCCAGAGGTGGATGTGTTAAGAACAAGCTGGACAGGAAATGAACATAGTGCTTGTACTGAAGCTTAGACTGAAACAGACACACATACAGGGTCAGGCAAATAGGGAAGAGTTTGGTCATGCATCCACCTGCTTTGTTGGAAGATTTGCTTGATTAGCAATAAAACCAAGGCTGCCGCTGCTGTTAAAATAAGGCTGTGTCTGTATGCAAAAAGGAGTATTGTAGTGCTATTTATAGATCTTGTGTGTTGTTCTGTGTCTTCATCCTTCTTGTGTGTATCGGCATGGTGTGCAGGAGATTTATTCGTTCCTGGCTGAGCAGCTGAAGAGTCTGGCTTCTGCACACGGGGAGAGGTTGCTTCACACCCCGCACAACCCCATTTCTCTGGGTAAGCTCAAAGTGCTGGTTACGTATCAATTGATCCTCACTCTGCTTTTCTGAAATGGCGTAAGTCTTTCTGGCTTTGCGTTTGGTCTCAGATGTTTACTGACTTCACTATGCGCCTCTCTCTTCCAGCCATGTCTCTAGATGGTCTCCAGGCCAACAGTGACAAGGCGGTGACTCAGCTAGGATCCATGTTGTTCACCCGACAAGTGTCAGGAGCCAGGTAAGGCCATGTTGATGATGTGGCCTGGAAATGGACATGGAGGGGGGAGAGAGAGAATAACAGGATAGGGGAGTGTGTGTGTGTGTGTGTGTTTGAGTGGGTTTAGAAAGATGTTGCATTTTGCTCGGCAAAATCAGCAATCAGGCAGATGGATCTGCTGAATACTGAGCAGCGGAAACTACTTTAGAAAATTAAGACAGCCCTTCCTATCACAGCCGCATCCTAAATAAAACAGGATGTTTCCATTAGATGTTGAAGGATGTGGTCTCCTCTGGAGCAGCGGGCACCAGCTCTGAAAGCAGCAGCATTAGTGAGGAGGATTTGTCAATTTTTAACTGTTTCGTTCTCACTCTGTCACATGAATCGATGGATCTGCATAAATACACAATTTCAAATTAGGAGCATGGCCCCCACCACCCCCGCACATTTCATTTTGTGTTTTTTCTCTTTATAGTTTTCAATCGTGCATGAGAGCTAATCTAAATCTTTTATATATCCAGAATAAAAGATTTATTTGGGTCATTCTGTCACGATTGTTTATAGTGTTGTTTGGAATTTAATGCTCCCAGTTGGATTTTTCCAAGGTCCTAGTGTGAAGTGTAGTCAAATGTTTTAGCCTTGTACGTCCTGAGCATGTTGTGTTTTCATAAAAGAAAAGAAATGTTTAAGATTTGAGTTTCGTGAACAGTTTGCAGCTGTGGACGTGGCATTAAATGAAATGCTCTCAGAGCCAAACATGAATGGGAGGCACCCGGCTTTGCATTTTCACATCAGTAGTGAGCTTTTCTCTTCTCCAGCTGAAGAGATTAATAGAGATCTTCATCTGATTCTAGTGCATTCTGCTGCCATTGTGCTGCGTGCACAGTCCTTATAGCTGGGCAGTAATTGATTTCACATTAAAGTGAGTCTAAACTCTGCTGACAGTGGTGAAACCTTGCCAGAATTTATGGCCACGATTATTATTTACAGTATTGCAGTTGAAACCAGGTGAAGTCCCCGCACATCCTGGTCCAGCACATTTCAAAGGTGCTCTGTTGGATTGAGATCTGGGGACTCTGAGCTCAGCTCATTTTCATGTTCAAGAACTCCGTTTGAGATTATTTGAGCTTCATGACGTGTTGTAAGCAGCCCTCAGAAGATGGGTCCTGCACACTGTGATCCTAAAGGGATTCACGTGGTCAGCAACAATACTTATTGTAAGCTAAAGTTTTAAAACAATGCTTATTTGGTACTAAGCGGCCCAAAGTATGCCAAGAAACCACCACCAGCTGCCTGAACAAAGCAGGATGGATCATGTTGTTTATGACAAATTCTGACCCTACCATCTGAATGTTGGGCGTATGGTTGTGTGGGAAGATTCCAGCAGATCAGCAGTTTCTGAAATACTCAGACCAGCCCATCTGGCACCGGCAAACACGTCACATTCAAAGCATCTTAAATCACCATTCTTCCCAGTTCTGATGCAGAGTTTGAACTTCACCAGGCCTTCTTTCTAAATTCTCTGAGTTTCTGCCATGTGACTGGCTGATTAGATATTTGCTTTAAGAAGCACTTGAACAGGTGTACCTAATTAAGTGGCCCATGAGTGTACATTGCAGTGTTGGTTTTATTTGTGAGACATGTTGATCTGCGGTAAATATTGCATAAAATAAAGAGGTTATTTTTGTTGTTTTTTACATTATTGTTAAAATCCCGTTGCTCTGTGTTACTATGTTCACTCGTGTTTCCAGGGTGATACCACTGGGCAAGGAGCAGACCGTAAGCGGACACACGTTTCGCGGGTTTATGTCCCACTCGGAGTCGTACCCCTGTCCTTACCTCAACGCTGCCTCCGCTGTGGGTATCACTCGAGAAGATGTGACGGTCTGCATCAAAAGGCTCGACAAATGCCTGAAAACTCTGAAGAAAGAGGGCGGTGCGGTGTCTTCGTCGGACCAAGAGGTCTCTATAGGAGAGTGACTGAACTGAGGCTGAACATTTCAACAGGAAGACTTTGACCTTGCGCTGCCTTCATGCAGTTCTTTCTGATTTGGACTGTGTGTTTGTGTTATGAGTCATTACTTCTGGCAGTGAAACACTGTCCAGGTGGTCATAAACCAAAATAATGCAAGCACGTGTCACTGATTAATTCCCTCATCAAGTGATAATAGGACAAAACGTGCATACACATGCTGCTTAGGAGCATCTGGTCATAGACCAAATGTATGCAAAGACTGTTGTTGACTGTGTATGTTTAACTTTAATTTAAAGCTAATTACACATCCAGCCTTTACAAAAGGACCTCTCATGTGTCTCTTCTTTCTTTCACTTTGAAAACCATCTCTTTTTCTCGTACACTTCCCCCCCCTCATCATTACATAAAATAGTGCATCTTTGTAATGTCATATGTTTTACCATGCCTTCTCCAGTGTACGGTAACGTGATGCCAGCGGTACTGAGCCATTAACTCTGTCTGAACCCTTTTTATTCAATAAGCTCATTTATTTTTAGGCTCTGCAACAGATCACACAGAGCAGATAATCAATGGTGTACATCAAGCACAGATCACTCACGTGTCCAGCAAAACAAATACTCACTGTTAGTCTCGGTAAGAGCCCGTAATGTTCGCAGCATTAAAAGGACAGTTCATTGTGAAATCGAATTAACACGTTTGTCCCTCTGGCCTGCTGTGTTTTATCTGTGTGGAGTTTTCCTCCTACTAAACTGTAGCCATCAAACAAACCTCTCTGCAGAAGAAAGCAGAGATATGAGGCTTTAACTCACCCAAAATCAGGCAGCTCACACCAAAAGAAATTAAGCTGGAAGAATGACGAATGATGAATTGTCCATTTAACAATTTAAGAGATCTGTAATTAGATTTTAATTGCGTGTTTTGCTGTTATGGAGCAATGGGCAAATTGTAATTACACTGAGAGCTTCACCAGGGACTTGATCTTTAATCACATCAGGCTTCACTGTATTTGCGGAGTTCAGCAGTTTTCTTGAGTCTTGTGTGTTAATCCCTTTGCTTTGTAATCACAATCATTGGGAAGCACAGCAGGTAGTGGCCTCAGGCACAAACATTCACTCCTGCCAACTCCCGTCTAATCCATATTTCAACACTGCATTGTCCAAGTCCCTCCATTCTCCATACATTATCAAGAAATACTGCGCTGTGAAGAGTCCGGGGCAAGCCTCCGCAGCAGTGCTGGGCCCAGGTGTGCTTGTGTCCACAAATGTACACAGTCAGCAGCTGTATGAGTATTTTTGTTTTTCCAGCTGCTACACGTTTCCTGACCTGCATTGCTAAATGCTAAAAGCAGCAGCAGAGCGAATCCAGCCAGCAGCCTTTGAAAGCGGGCTGAGCTCTGATAGATATGACTGCTGTATCAGCACACTTTCACTGTTCCAAGCTGTACTGAGCCGTTAACAAAACAGTGGAAAAACACCGCATGCTGGTACAATGCAGCACTCTGAAGAGCAGACGTGGCTTTCACAGATGATTTTTTTTAATGAACGCAGAAAAAATGTATCTCTTCATCAGCTTTAGTCTGAATTAATAAGTGATCAGGTGTGGGTGGATTTTGAAGTGCATTTGCTGTGCACTGATATAATATTGTCGTTTTTGTTTTATATTTTTGGACTCTGGATCTCGGGTGACTTATAGGGGAATTAATAGTTTCTTTAGTGTGTAAATCAGGTAAGGATTTCAGTGAGAGAACCTTGCATAAATCATTGCTCCCCCCCTCCGTGCTACCAAAGAAGTAATCGAAGTGAAAGTGGTTTCAAATTTCCAAAGCCACTTACTGCTTTTAAACCCAAAATACTATATACCGTCATCGCTCCTCACCAAAAAAGACAACCTTTAAATATACTACTCCCGAGTCTGCGCTGCGCCCACTCAATCATAAGTCTTAAGTACCCCAGGGATGTTGCTGCATGACAAATGGCTCTTCTCTTTCGGTTGTCTGCTGCTGCCAGGAAGAGTGCAGTGATGATGGAGCGCCAGAGTGGCACAAAAAAAGGGCCGCAGATATGCAGACTGGTCCCAGAAGGGCAGCGATAGTAGATAAACAGGCGGAATATAGTTCAGGGAAAAGTTTGCTTAATTGGCTGAATCTGGCTGTTTACTGAAAGTTTTGATCACTCGAGGTGCATGATGTTTGAGTGTTTTCTTACATATTTAATCTTACTGCATTTCAGTGCAAACCTGGTCTTTCAGTGGGCTTTTTTGAACCCTCCACTTCCATTTGAATCATTCCATACTGGGTTTCCTAATGTGGGAATTAAGGGTCCACTTCTGGTTCAGGTCTAACCTTCAGAAAGATGATAGGCACTCTTTGATATGATGCAGAACTGAATCTGAGTCACTCAGCCTTAAAGGTGCTTCACAGTTGGTATGAGGTGCTTTTCCTCAGCATCTTTCTTTGGTCGGCACCAAATGCCAGTTAAAAGACTTGTAAACGAAAGAAACAAGGAATCTGCTTTAACTAACTATGGTGAGTGACATCAGTACTGCATGGGTGAAGAAATGGTGCACAGAGTGTTGTAAATGCAAAAAAACCCAAACCATTGAGGGACCAAAACCCAAAAAAGTGTGTCAGGGAGGAGAGCCACCCAGCGACTGAGCACTGAGCTCTTGCTAGTGTCACTGATTGGAAACGAGCAACAGCTCAGTGCCCACAGGTCAGACACAACAGGCCGAAAAGGAAAGAGGGTGGAGTGAGTGGCCACAAAAAGCCCTCACCTGTGTCTGCATGTTCAGTGGAACACAGTGGATTTGCTCTAGTGTTTACGCTGGACTGCTGCTCTTCTTGCTTCACACTGGTGTTTGTGGGGTTCACAGGGACTTCTGTTGTACTGAATCAGTCACTAAGACAGGTTCTTACGTGAAAACTGGCAACAAATTTCTAGCTGATCTGTGTTATTTAACATGTATGTGTCATAAATGCACATTTGAGAACATTTGTATATATACCATCCTTTCTGAAATATTTGATTTTGTGAAGCAGTGAGTGCAGATAAGTATGGTGCATGTACTCCTTCAAACATGCAGATCAGCAGCCATCCTTATCTGCATTTACTGCTTAACAAGATCAAATGTTGGCCTGTCCAGATATTTTAAAAAGCCGCTGTTTACTCGTGATTTGCTCAGCGTTTCCTTTACAGCCTGTGCAGGATGGCTGCAGGGCGCTGGGGGAGGCGCTGTCCTTGGTGCTGCAATTATGCGCCTCTGACCTTCTATATGAAGGAAGCATCTACAGCTTACGGTATGCCGACATTATATAACATCCTACGTGTGAGTCAAATGGTTTGACTTCGTGTTATTCAGACTGAGCAGCCAGCTGTGTTTAAATACTGCCAGAAATAACACAAAGAACATTCAAATTACGTGTAAACTGGCAACAAAATGCACTTGGGGATAAACATGACGCTCGAAATTAATTTCTGAAATCTATAATTAGCGTGCTTGTTTGGAGATAATAATACACCACAGCTCCATAAACTACACCTATCTTCAAAAAAATAAAAAGGCAAGCGACGCTGACCACATATGAAACGTTGGGGCAAAAACAGATCAGCTCAGAAGAGACGTGGTGGTCACAAGCTGACTAATAACGTCTAATCAATTCCCGCGTGTGGCTGTTTAACCAACAGTTACCAGACTGGAGCGCTGACTTAATAAATATTTAAAGTGGACGGAGGGGAGTCGCAGCTGATTTGCTGATGTCAGGGAGCCAGTGCAGCATTTCATGGTGCAGGGTGGAAACGCGCGCTGCCATCTGCCTCGATCCGTGCTCTCTGCAACCCTCACACATGAAAGCCCGACAGGAAAGATGCCGCCAGCTCTCAACATTTGGGCATTGTTCCTCGTGTCGCTGTGCTGCCTGTGTCAGCCGGGTCATTTAAAAAAGCCTTTCCGATGCCCTTCAACATGCAGCTGCTCCAAGGAGTCCATCATCTGCGTCGGGTCCTCCTATATCCCAAGAATGACCCCCAACGAAATCACTTCTTTGTGAGTAGATGGCCTGCACTGTAAAGATATATGTTTTAAATGGAACAGTACGTTTTCCGCAGTGCATACATGCAATATATGCTCGAGCCACAGCCTCAAGTATGATTCTATAGCTGTGCGCATTTTATAACACCCTATAAAATAAGAGCTGATCGCAAAAAGCAATGCAGTGTTTTTCTCCCTGTTTCCTCGCCGATCACTTTTCAGCATTTTACTTTCTCCTGCTTGCTCCTTGTTTTTAGGAGTATCGTGAATGGGACTTTCAGCGAGGTCAAAGAGGCGATGTTTTCCCACATACCATCTCTCCAGCTATTGTAAGGATACTTTGCCAGCCTTTGATACTTCTAAAATGATTTGATTGGTTGACATTTTTAAGTAAAGGTTCTTATCGGGCAGATTTCAAATTAGTTACTTTTAGTACATAAAGCATCAGTTTCAAATGTTGGGCATTAAAATGGCAGATGCATCATTATGTGAGGCCAATAATGGAGTCACGACGGTCATTATACATAAAGCATTGGTTATAGCAGCACGAATCAAATGAGGCATTTATGCTTCTGTAGCACATGGGGTATTACTTTAGTGGAGATAAAGTAACGATTTATAAAGTCTGTTTGGTGCATGGTTAAGCTTTTTAGTAGCCGGGGCTTTTCAAATGGTGCACACCTGGAAATAAATAATGGAAACCCAAATCTGAGCTTTTAGTGCTGCCCAGTACCTACAGTGTGCTCAACCATCAGTCTGCTTTGTTACAACACAAGTGACAGCTGTGATGTCAGCCTAAACAAAGGCGTGGCACTAGCCAAAGTCATCATACACAATAATTCTCAGCTGAATACTTTATTTGGTAAGATGTAGGGTGGTTTTTTTTTTCAGTAAAACATTGAATTCAAATGACAAGAGGCCATAAAATATGATAATATAATAACTAATTTAACTCAATTTTGTTTGGACATTGCTTTAATAATTGTGCTTACAGCATTTGGCTCTGCTTTTGGAAGCTGAAACATTTTAATCTGTTCTATGTTTTAGAGAAAAGCCTGAAGCGTTGCATTTCTGCAGTTGGCTGCACTGTAATTGATTGTATGCTTATTTTTTTTGCAGGCTTCTGAATTCCAATTCCCTGACAACTGTAAGAGATGATGCATTCTCAGGGCTACCACATCTGGAGTACCTGTGAGTTTCTTTGTTTGTTTGTTTTTTAATGAAAGTAGTTTAAAGAAAATAACTGAATATTCAGTTCTCTACATCAGTTTGGTGAAAATAGACTTGCGAGGTTGTTTTAATGGGAATGAAGCTTTTCTGTTGGATGCTGGCATTTTTCCAGTGGGGTAGGCAGTTGTTGGTTACACGCCCTCTAGTGGTTCCAGTACAACTAGAAAACAATCTTTGTTTCTCTTTTCATTCATCACACCAAAGTACACCAGCTTCTTTACTGGGTACACCCCCCCCTCCCAAAAGATGCTCTATTGGACTGAGACCTCGTGATTGTGGAGGCCATTTGAGAACTGTGAACTTATTGTCACGTTCAAGAAACCAGTTTGCGATCATTTGAGTTTTGTGACATGGCGAATTAGCCTACTGGAAGCAGCCTTCAGAAGATGGTACACTGTAGTCAAAAAGGGATGCACATGGTCAGCAACAATACTCAGGTAGGCTGTGATGTTTAGATGATGTGGCCCAAAGTGTGCCAAGTAAATATCCTGAACCATTAACATAAGGCAGGATGGAACCATGTTTTCATCTGCTTGCACATTCTGATCCTAGTATCCAAATGTTAAAGCAGAAGGTGAGACTTATCAGACCAGGCATCGTTTTTCCAGTCTTCTGCTGTCCATTTTTGGTGAGCCCCTGTCATTGTAGCCTCAGTTTCCCGTTCCTCTCAGCTGACAGAGCGGCACTAGGTGGGGTCTTCTGCAGTTGTCCGCTTCAAGGTTCAGCAACTTGTGTGTTCAGAGATGGTCTTCCGCACACATCGGTTTAACCTGTTGTTATTAGAGTTTCTATTGCCTTCCTATCAACATTAAGTAGTCTAGCCATTCTCCTCTGACCTTTGGCAGCAAAAAGGCATTTCTACCCAGAGAACCCCTGCTCATCCCAGCAGATCAGCAGTTTCTGAAATACTCCACAACCATGCCACATTCAAATCCCCTTTCTTCCCCATTTTGATGCTCAGTTTGATTTTCGGAAAGTCGCCTTGACCATGTCTATGTGCATAAATGTATTGAGTAGCTGCCATATGATAGTGGAACAAGTGTACCTAAAACGTTACTGGTGAGTCTATATGCACATATTCCAAAGTCTTGCAAATAACAAAATAAACAAAGCCTTTCACTGAACCATTGCCCCAGAACAAATACATGTGACTGTAGCATCAAGTTATTGCTATTTAACAGAAACATCAAATACAAGGGTAGCTATGATCACAATCAGCTCTTACACAACCTTTACAAACATTATGGTATAAATTGACTCTGGAAAGCTCACCAGATTCAGTACAATGTCAGAAATATTCTTTCTGAAACTGAAATAGCAAGAATATAGAAAGTGCGCTCAACATCCCCCCAACAGGCCTCGTTATATATTGTCTTGTATGTTTTCAAATTGTTTGATTATTGTAAAAAAAGAAAATATGTACATTATATAAAGTGTGTGTAGCTGCTTTTTTGAACCTTCTTTTAATTGGTAGCTGTAGCTAGGGAGGCAGAGCAGCTCCAGTCTGCATGCCAAATATTCTTGGGCAAGATACTCAAGTTCCTCTCGGTTGTATCCATCAGTGTCAGTGTTTGATAGAAAACACATCAATAGAATATGCACAGAAAAAAGTCCTGGTCTGAATTAGACAGGTTTCAAGGATTTCAAGTGCTCAGGTAGAATAGAAAAGTGCTGTACAAGAACCAGTCCACTTACCATTTGGTTTACTAGCTGTAGCTGCCATCACCAGTGTGTGAATGTGTGTGTGAATGGGTGGATGACTGGATATGTAAAGCGCTTTGGGGTCCTTAGGGACTAGTAAAGCGCTATATAAATACAGGCCATTTACCATTTAGCTGGCAAAATGTTGAAATTGATCAAAAATATACTTTTCTTTTTCTTCTTGTTGATCCACAGATTCATTGAGAGTAACAAACTAGAGACTACATCAAAATATGCCTTCAGAGGACTCAGGGACCTGACTCACTTGTATGTTCCAGTGACTGAAAATACAACTGATGCATGATTTAATGATGTCTCTTTTCATAATCAACTGCATTTGTTTCCAGGTCTTTGGCAAACAATAACATTAAAGCCTTGCCCAGGGACCTCTTCATTGACCTTGACTCCCTTATAGAGCTGTGAGTTTGTACATAGTAATAGGTAAATAGCGTACTGTGTAATTCTTGCAGTCTGTCTTTCTCCCTGTTCAGCTGTGAAATACAATATTCTCTTTCTGCAGGGACCTGCGAGGCAATGCCTTTGAATGTGACTGCAGAGCCAAGTGGCTTATGACGTGGTTAAAGAACACCAATGCCACAGTGTCAGATGCTGTGTGTGCTGGACCAGAGGACATGAAGGGCAAGCGCCTCAATGATATGACCAGCCTGCAGAATGAGTGTGTCTCCACAGGTGAGAAACACCTGAGCCAGCTGCCCTTCTCTCATGTCCAGCTGAGATCAGGATGAGAGAACTCAGCAGAGTCATTCTAAGAAGTGTAGAGGGCATTCATTTAACGTGGCTTTGTTGGTTTGTGTAAAATACATTTCCCAATGTTCCTTTCCACAGATTTCATCCTTCATCAGTCTGTTGCCTCAGAATCGTTGTCTGTTGACACATTCAGCTATAAGAATGATGTCTACGTGGCCATTTCTGCTCCCAGCACAGAGAGCTGTATGATTTTCCAGTGGGACCACATAGAAATGAACTTCAGGACTTATGATAACATCACAGGTAAAGTTTGATTTCGCCTTCTGCAGGAAATGTGTCCTAACTTACGACATAACTGGAAACCCCTCTTGATCCTGCAGCGCAACCTTCTAACCGTTTAAGTCCTTGCAGGCTGTGTCGACCCAACGTGTAGTTACATCTCTCAAGAGGTGCATGTCAGGTTACGTGGAAGGTTAGGTGAAGGGTTAAAGGGCGTTTCCAGTGACACTGTAAGTTAGGAAGTCTAAATCACACATTAGGCTAACAAACACTCCCAGAATGCTTCCAGTTTCATTCTCACGCGACTCATGTGTTTCTCTGCCCTTTAGGTCAGTCCATTGAGGGGTGCAAATCTGTTATCATCGAAAATGAGGTGTTTGTCATTGTGGCTCAGCTGTTTGGTGGTTCCCACATTTATAAGTTTGATGACGACCAAAGCAGGTTCAATAAGTTCCAGGATATCGAGGTGTCCAAGATCTCTAAGCCCAATGATATTGAGGCCTTCCAGATTGGCTCTGATTGGTTCTTTGTGATTGCTGACAGCTCAAAAGCCGGCCTCTCCACCCTCTACAAGTGGAATGATAATGGCTTTTATTCGTACCAGTCACTGCACGAGTGGTACCGCGACACGGATGTAGAGTTTCTCGACTTGGATGGGAAAGCTCACCTTATTCTAGCGAGCCGCTCACAGGTTCCAGTGATCTACCAGTGGAGCCGGAGCAACCAGAAGTTCATCCTGCAGGGTGAGATCCCCAACATGGAGGATGTAGTGGTTGTGAAACACTTCCGGATCAAGGAAGAGCTCTACCTGGCTATGACGCGGTATATCGGTGATTCCAAAGTTCTGCGTTGGGGCACCAAACAGTTTGCTGAGATCCAAGCTTTGCCCTCTCGAGGCTCCATGATTCTCCAGCCATTCTCTTTCAAGGAACGTTACTATCTGGCTCTGGGAAGCGACTACACCTTCTCACAGATCTACCTGTGGGACGAGGACAACAAAATCTTTGACCGCTTTAAGGAGGTGTACATCCAAGCTCCACGCTCTTTCACCGTGGTATCTACCGACCGCAGGGACTTTATTTTTTCCTCGAGTTTCAAGGGAAACACGCAGATCTTTGAGCACATCATCATCGACCTGAGCTTGTGAGGGGCTGTGCCTTATTGTCCCTTCTGAAATCAAATGTCTTCCACTTGAAAGACAAATTCAAGAAGGAAACAAAAGAGAAAGGACCTTATAAACTGTTAAATATCCACACCTTCATAGTTTTCACTCACAAAGTAGAGCAGGGTCAAGATGTAACGTGACTATTTCTGAATGGCCTTGCACTCATGGATCCTCAGACTTTCTGAAGTACTACCCTTTCATAACTATTACTATTCTCTTAAAAATACCACTGAAGTTTATGACGGGTTAAAAAAGAGACATTTAATTGAATCTATTTGGATTTCTCTTTTTTTTGTTTAATATCTTTCTCTCAGTAGTTTTATGCAGCTAAAAATACATCAGGACCTGAATGAACGTAACAAATTTAATCTGATTTGTGGTGACTGATGATGGATTGATTGATTTTTGCCACCTACCTGTATCCTCATACCCTGTGGTAACGTACAGTACCTTGCCTTATCAACACTGGGGTCTTTTGTTTGATGGTTACACAGCGCCTCCTTCTGGCCGTGATGAAGTACCACACCCCTCTGCTCTTTCCATTACAGGGAATGTCTAGAAAGCACAAACCTTTAATTAACTTAGCCGAGATCATAGAGTGTAGCTGTTTGTTGGAAGGTGTCTTTGTAGATGCTGTAGATTATAATGCATACAGTAGGAAGCAGTGGTTTGTTGTTACAGTTAGTAAAATATCCAGGACTTGACCTTATACAAATTCATTAACGGAGAATCAGAATCAGAATCGTGTTTATTGGCCAAGTATATGTGCAGACACATACAGGGAAACACAACAGAGAATCGCCATTTAGATACAGCTTCTAGATCTGCTGTAATATAAGTACAGAGAAACTTTATCAGTATTGCAAAGGAGCTGTGTTTAGATGATGTCAGGGAAAATAAATCTCCTGATATGTTTAAAAAAACAGTTTTGCCCAATTAACAATTTTTTTTTTACTAACATCTGAAGTCAGAAGAATCAGAGGCCAAATTTGTATGACCACAAGGAAGGAAAATAAATGTACATGTAAATATATCTTCAAGCTTTCAAATTTTTATTCTGCTTTTGGAAATGCTGAATGTTGACAAGCTCCAAAATGTACATAAACCAAGGATTGTAATGTCACCACCTGTTTGAATGGACCTTTGCACTTACAAAACTCAAATGTTACTGCAGCCTGCAAGTGCATGACATTCAAAAAAGGGTGTTTGCCAAATTCTTTTTAGATAAACCTAACAAAGACTAAAAGTGCTTCTAGGTTAACAATATGCAAGCGTTAAAAATTCTTTTGTATGATTTTGTTTAAGCCTAATGAATGTTCCTCTTAAAGATATGATGTAATGTCAAAATAAATCTGTGAAAACATGACTTCTGAATGTGTTTTGTGTTGACTGATAATCGGGATTATGGTTATAATTAGAGTTTTTTTTGTGTCACTGTAGTGATTAATCCCTGACACTGATCATTAAAAATAAAACTTCCCTTCTTTCCCTAAAAAAACCCCCCAAAACAGACATTATGATTGTAAAGTTGCACAAAGAAAGAAGAAACAGTACTGTCTGGTGTTTGAATGGTCACAGATCCAAAAGTGTAAAACCTGATAATGTGCAGTCCGTATGCAATCTGACCAGCACTAAAATCTCACCATTATATTCTGCCGTTCACATGTCAGTATTTCAGACACTCAAACACTTAAACACCTCAAACCCACTGTCAAATATGCTGGTTCAAGTGTGGTGATTTGAGCTTCTTCTGCAGACACAAGCAATAAAGCACCTTGCAGTCAACGAACTCCTCTGTATGCCAAAGATTTTTAGAGTCAAATGTGAGGCTGGCTGTCTGACAGATAAAGCTTCTTCTAAATTAGGCCATGCAACAGGATAATGACCCCAAGCTCAGCAGCAAATCTACAGCATGGACGTCCAGACCTCAACCTGACTGAAATGATGTGTATAAAGGAATGCTTGCAAATGTCATTGATTTGAATTTATTGCTGCTAACTGCTGGTTCTGTAAACTACTCAATCATAGAATGATTACGATATCAAACTAAAACAAATGCCTGAATCCTAAATTGTGGATATCCTGTTGTGATGATCTAAAATGTAACACTAAATGTGATTAAAACACGAATGATCTGGACTCCTGGGCTGAACGACCACGAGGATCACCAGCCCGGGGAAAACACAAAATACACATGACTCTGTGACAAAGACAATTCATTCTTGAATGAAGACATTGATCAGACACATTTAAAATGCAGCCAATTGTGTTTATTATTAAGCTTTTGGGGAAATAGAAGGGGGGGGGGGGGGGGGGGGGGGGGGGGGGGGGGTTAAAGTAGAGGGTAAAAGAAAGGGATAGAAAGGAGGAAAGAGATAGAGGAGAGAAAACCCCAACAATCCCCTCTGAGCAAGCACTAGGTGCGACAGTGGATAGGAAAAACTCCCTGTAAAGGAAGAAACCTATGACAGAACCAGGCTCTAGAGGGGGCAGTCAACTGTCGGGACTGGTTGGGGGGTGAGGGTGAAAAGAGAGGGAGAGGGGGGAGGGAGATGGGACAGGTGTTCGGAGTTCAAGGGAGCTAGGGGAGGGAGAGGTGTCAAGGTGTCAGGAGAGAGGGAGAGGGGAGGTCAAAATTACGATGGAACAGAGGTGGAGGAAGACGAGGTGACATCAGCAGTGGAAAAAGTAGAAAGAGTAGAAAAAGCAGGAGTGTCCTTCCTCCAGAAAAAGCGGAACCGTTTCTTCTTCTTTTACAGGAGCTTTTCCACGAGAACCTTTTTCTCTAGGATCAGGGTTCTCAGCTGATCGATTGTTTCGGTATTCTCCTTTTCAAGTCTCCTGCATGTTTTCTCCACTTCTTCTAATTCGGCTTGTTTGTCTTTGAGCCTTCCTTTCAACTCATTAGATGTTACCTCCTGCATTACCTTTGCCTCCTGCATCTCTGTATAACGCTCTTGTAATTTGTTGTGAGTGTCTTCTAACTGCTGACTTTTCCTCTCGGTTTCTTGAAGTTTGCACTGCAGGTCTTCATTTGTTTTCTCGAGCTGCTGCTTTAGCAGCTGCACCTCAGTGTTTTTGCGCTTCAAGGTGTTTGAAAGTTCCTTGAGTTCGGTGTTTTTTTGTCAGCATGTCATTGAGCTGACTCTGCATTGCTGAGCACTGTTTTTGCAGTTTCTCCTTCTCTCCTTCCATCTCAGTTGCTTTGTAGTTCATTTTCTTGTAAAGTTCTTGCAGCTTTTGGTTTTCTCTCTCAAAGTCCAGGAGTAAACGTTTGTCTTCTTTCTGCTTTATGTCCTGTTGTTCTTTCTCTTGAAGCAGCTCTTGATATTTCTGCTTGTGCACTGCAGTTTTATCAAGTTTTACTTCAAGGACTCTGCATTTTTCGTCCATGCTTTGGAGTTGGCACCGCATTTCTCTCTGGTTTATTTCCAGTTGTTCTTTTTCTTGAAGAATCAGGTCATTTCTTTGCAGTGCTTTATCAAGCTTTGTTTTCAGCTCGCTTTCAAGCTTGCTTTCTTTCTGTTGTTGCTTTTTCTCTTGAAGCAATGCTTTGTATTTTATCCCCAAGTTTTGGAGTTCTATGTCCTGCCGTTTCTTCTCTTGGAGGATTTCTGTATTTTTTAAGCAGAGCTTCATCAAGCTTTAATTGCAGCTCCTGATCCTTTTTGTCCTTGTCTTTCTCATTTTTCTTCTGCTGGAGGATTTCTTTGAGTTTTTCTATTGCTTTATCAAGCTTTGCTTTGAGCTCAAAGTTCCTTCCACGCACGTCTAGGAGTTCCATTTCTTTCTCCTTCTGAATATCTTCCTTTTCAAGAAGCTGGCTGAACAATTTATCTACTTCAGCAGTCTCTCATTTTCTTCTCTGAGGAAGGTAATCTCCTTTCGTTGCTTACAGTTTTTCTCAAATGCTAAAACACATGTCACAAACGTTACCACCAGGTCCCCCAATGTCCAAACACAACACCCTTCTCTAAAGCTACATAAACACAACCACACCTTCCCACTGCAAAACTCAAACTCCCACACCAAGAGAGCAGCTCGAAGCTGTCAAAACTGTAAACACTATACACAGCATTACACACTACAGCAAAACAATTGAAAACACAATGCTCAATTTGTGAGAAGGTTCTTTGGTTCATAACTGCCAATGCATATTTTTATAAACTGTACAGTAACGGATCGTCATAGAACCCTGCAGAGGATTAGGCATTTAGATTTGTGAGTTTCATATGAAGACTATAAATCTATAAAAACATCCTGCATGTACGTACACTACTGTAACACAACTCAATGCAAAAACAGAATCTATCGCACACAACAGTACTCTCGGAAACATGATCAGGGTGTGAAGTCTTTTTTATTGTCTACACGGTCATTTTACAGTATTACACACAGTCACTGTGCGGCATCATGTCGCCGAGCTGCATTGGGCCACATCACCTCATCCACATCACAGGCTATATTGTCCCTTGCTAGGCACCGCGGGAAAAACGCCCTGGAATGGCGAATCCATCCCTGGAAGGCCTCCACTGGGATGTCAGCACAGGCCAGCTCCATTGCCCGTACGAGGTTCTCTCTTGTGTATGGCTGTCTGTCATACACCTTCCATCTCCATGATGAGAAGAACTCCTCTATAGGGTTCAGGAAAGGGGAGTAGGGTGGCAGACAGACGTTTAAAAAGTGGTCACTGTTGGTGGTGAACCACTCTCTGATTTGGTGTGTCTTGTGGAAGCGGACGTTGTCCCAAATGATCACATACATGTGATGTGCTAGCCTAGGATGGTGTTGTTGACGGTCCAGGAGGATGTCTTTTAGCTCCTCTAGGAAGGTGAGGAGACGTTGGGTGTTGTAAGACCCAAGGACAGCATACCGGTGGACAAGCCCCTCCGTACCCATAGCTGCACAAAGAGTAATATTACCCCCCCGTTGGCCAGGAACCTCAGTGATGGCTCTCTGGCCAATGATGTTACGGCCTCTTCGCCTTCGTTTCTGGAGGTTGAAGCCAGCCTCATCCAGGAAGAGGTACTCATGGGGTCTGGCCATCGCGTCCAACTGCATTATCCTCTGTGAACATGGGAAAGCGTACAGGTGTTCAGAACGGTCAATCAGGTAGCACAGTATTGTCCAGAAGTAATGTAGGCTACTAAGCAACACAGTATGTCCACTAACTGTACTGTGGACATGGATGTATACGTACTTGCACATACTCGTAACGTTGTCCTATGTGTCGCGCAGAGTTGCGCTCAAAGGGAACCCTGTAGACCTGTTTCATCCTCATCTGTTGGCGCCGGAGAACTCGGTCTATTGTGGACACACTGACAGCATCAATGTTCTCAAAGTTTACATTATCTGCAATGACTTTGTCTCTGATCTCTCGGAGTCTAATGCAGTTGTTCTCATGGACCATATCTGCAATGAGGGTTTCTTGTGCCGCTGTGAATATGGCAACCCTCCCACCTCTATGTGGCATTCTTTCAGCTCTAAAGAAAGAAACATGTGTTGTCAATTGACTGATTTATATGTAAAACTACATGTAAGGTAACAGACCACTTTCACAGGCCTGTAAAACTGTAGTGTGACAAAGAAAGCAATAGCGTACTATACCTGTTGTGTTGTCTAAATGCCTTGATAATGGTGGCCACGGTGGACCTACTCAGGTTTGGATGTACTCTTCATCCCGCTTCAGCCATTGTCATGCCATGGACAATGGCATGATCAATTACTGTTGCTCGCATATCATCTGTTATGATGGTGCGAGGTTGTCTTCTTCTCCCACCTGGACCTTCTCCTCTCTCTTGTTGGCCTCCTTGTCTTCCTCCTCTACTCCGAACTCCTCTTCTTCTTAGGCCTTCACCTCTTCCTCCTCTGATCTCTTCCCCTCTTCCTCCTCTGATCTCATCCCCTCTTCCTCTTTGGCCTGCAGCTCTTCTCCTTCCGCACGCTCGAATGCCTTCATCCATTGTGATTGTTTGGCATCTTCACCAAACTATGCTTTCATAGGTGGGGTCACATCATTAGCAACAGGTGTCTTCAATTTTGAGTCGTTGTGTGTAGTGACTGACGCCAGGTGTGTTCCCTGTGTTCACAGATTGGTGACTGTGGCAAGCATTTTGCATCACATGGGCTTATCTTATCTTATCTTATCTTATCTTATCTTATCTTTCATTTGAGAATATGAGCAGAGTTGTTTTGCAACATGTGTTTTGGCAAGGAAAAATGTGTTTAGATTTATGAGTACAGAGGGTTGTGTTTTGTGAATTGTGTCTTCATGTGACATGTGTTTATGGTACTGGTATATGGTGGCTACATTTAGTAAATGTGTATAGACTACTGGTCATTTGGGTTACAGGATTGGC